GCTCAGCCCAACATTTGTCTCCCCAGACCTCCCCTTCTGGGCCATCGTCCTCATCTGCTTAGCAGGACTCCTGGTGCTCATCACATGCCTGAACTGCTGTCTCCTAGTAAGCAGGGAAGTGTCACTTGTCTTCTTAATATTGGGTTGTAAGAGCTCTTTGGATATTACAAATATACGTGCTTTGCTAAGGATCTGTTGTGCAGATAGTGTCTCCCATTGGCCAGCTGGTGTTCATAGCTCCTCTAGAGCTCGAACCAGTTGTGAAATTGTCATCTGCCCAACTCTGAGTGACTGACTCCGCTGTCCCACGTGTTTCCATCAACCCAATGGATCATGTTCAAAAATAAATAATTCAGAAACATATCAACCCACACAAATCCCTGATGGCCGGATTTTGCTCAAACACTCATACAACAGATACCCATTCCTCAAGATCGGAAGTGATGCCACATCACCGTGTTCTCAGCTTAATTTCTCTTCTCCTATCCTGCCATTCCTGCAATCTGTGGTCTGTGATCTCAGTAATTCCCTTGGAGCCGTCCAAAATTTCTTACTGCTCATCATATGTGTCTTGTAAAATTTCAACCCCAGAAGATCCTGATTATAAGCCATGCCCTAGCTGCTGCCAATCTTATGATCTTATGACAAAACAGGATTTTTTTGGTACCAGTGTAAATGCAAAATCAGCTGCATCAACTGGAAGCATCCCTAATGCCTGGAAATTCTAATTTCTTTTATGGATTGGCATATTTACTCCTTGATTTTCCACAAAGCCTGTTTTCAATGTTCCCCACATTTCTTTTTCCTTTATACATATATTCAGGGTCCCTTAACTTGCCTGATATTTCACAGAGAAATTGCTGTCTCTTCTCCTTCCCTTTTGACATGAACCAGTAAGAAAAGGTCATCTACCTTGTGTGTTTCTGTGGCCTCACCTGCAAACACCTCCTCAGAAAACCCCATGCTCCATCTGCCCTCACCATTCTATGGGTTGTTCCCTTGTAAGGCCACACTGACTCCTTTCTTACTAGACCAATAGGGGCTTTTCATCATTCATCTGACATGATCATTCAGTGGGAAACTTTGATAAGCTTGGAGCTCCTTAGATACGTGAATCTTATGTTACCTCTGTGAGCATTATAGTATCTCAACACAGATACTGCAGATGAGGAAATATACAACTTACAAATGAAGACTGTGCTCTAAATGGATTAGTAGATCCCAATTAAAATGAAAAAGAATGTGAACTATTTCATTGTTAATTTTTATATAGATTGCATGGACAAATGGTAATAGCTTGGTTATAATGGGTTTAAATATACTATTAAAATTAGTTTCACCTGTTTATCTTTACTTTTTTAAATGTGGCTACTAAAAAAAATTAAATTCCATAAGACAGATTGAGAAATTCTACTGTTGTACAGCACTGTTCAAGCCATGAGAATAAAGCCCAGAGAACGTGGTTAGGGACAATTTTTCCAAGGAAAGGAGTCGCTCTGAATGCACAGCAAGATGCAGAAAACAGTCTCATACACACACACACACAAACACACACACACAGAAAACAAGACCAACATCATCATAGAGTTGCACCACTCTTCTCAAGTGGCAAGAGGTTGCAGTCCTACATCGTCCTAAGTGGACGAACCTCAGGAAAGCAGCCAGGAGTCAAGAGAATTTACCAATCAGGAAGATCTAAAACCAGAGAGTAAAGGTCAGGATCTTTCGAGAGGTTCCCAGCGGTGGATTCTGTTAGTGATTCAATGCATTAGGGAGAACTTTGTAAGAAGCGTTGTTACAGAACTCACCTTTCCTTTCCTATGTAAAAATATACAAGTTGTGTAAAGAATAATAGCTCCTGCCAATCAATGAAAAGATGGTAGAACATGAATATCACTCTTGTAAATCACTCCCTGGATTAGTGAGCCAGTCAGGGAACAGATGACAGTGGATTGAGCTGGACCTCATTAGGCTGATTCTGACTTGAAGACCATCCTATGGATCGTCTTGTGCCAGGACCTCTGAAACATGCTGCCCCTGCCACTCTTTTGCCGCAAAGGTCCACCAACCAGACAAGTCCTTGCTGAAAAATACCCTGGCTGGGCCCCTTCTGAGCACACCTGGAGGACTCTCCCCAAATCCCACTGCTTCACGGCGCTCTTCCACCTGCCACCGGCCAGGGAGACATTCCCTCCAAGGCTCACACTGTGTGTGCCCAGCTCTGGGGATGGCACTTCTCCCTCAAGTGAAGAAAAGGATCAGAGTGCAGAGCCTGTGGGCTGCAGCCATTAGGACAAGGCCTGGGGTTTGCTGCCAGACAGAAGAGAACCTGTGGTGGGTGTGGGTCCCAGGGTTCAAGAAGCCCCCGTGATTCCTGGATAGAATCCCAGAAGACGATGCAGGACAAAGGAGGGATGCTTGGGTGTGATTATGCTTGGGAATGTCCATAGGGAGGCGGATCTGCCATTGGCAATGCCTTCAACAGTGTTGTTCATTCATCGATACGTGCTGTCTCAGGGAGTACTGTCTACCTCCTTCCAGCCCCTAGTCTCCCCTCTGGAGCAAACAGACAGCATCAGAAGAACATTTGCATTTCATTTATAATGGATAGGCACAGTGCTTGTAATGTGCTGGATGTTGCAAGCGTTTTGAATCATTAACTCCTTTAATACTCTCCGTATCCTCACAAATTAGGTACGCTTATCATTCTTGCCGACAACAGATGAAGAAATTGAGGCACTGATGAGGTGAATAACTTGCCCACTACCAATATCTAGGAAGTGATTGAGCTGGAATTTGAACATAAGTTGTGGCTCCATATTCTCTGCTCTTAACCATGTTCTTTGCTCCCTATGACTTCACACCAAGAAGACGTTGGCTCAGTGTATCCATTTTCTTGTTACACCCGGTAGCCCCACTCTTTGATCTCTGTCTGAAAAAGATGCTATTTGCATCAAAACTCTTGCACATACACAACCAAAATCACTTCTCCCCATATCCCATGTCCTGGAAAATACATGGAGAACATTTCAAAAGATTTCTTGCCCAGGCTGGGAGTGCTTCTGGGAAATCCCACTGTTCCTGTAAGAAGCCAAGGGCAGGCTGGGAGCTGGGTCTGAGGGGAAAGGTGAGCTCAGGAGTTCCCATGGGATTACAAAATGGATGGGAGGCCTCAGCAGGAACTGACTTCAGGATCTGGTGGTGTTTCAAGCTGGGTGCTAATTTTCTAGCTTTGGGTGTAGGGGCTGGTGCCGCATTCCAGGGAGATGGGAGTCTCCCTGTGTTCTTGGGGAAACCAGACCCTTGAAAGCAAGGGAATGAGGGTTTCCTTTCACAGTGGACTTGGGAGTTGAAACATTCAGCCCAGAAGAGACAGTCATGATCCTGAGGAAACTGGAAGAAGCTGCCTCTGCGTCTGCCAAGCAGAAAGCCCTCCTTCATGGACTCACTTTATCCAGATGAGACCAAGAAGGAGGACATCATGATATGTCCTTGCAGGTGGGAGATCTGTGATGATGGAGCCTGTGCCTGGGAGGCTCTGAAAGGCCTCACAGAGGTAACATTTGCTGTGAGCAGAGTGCCAGATGAGAGGCACGCCTGCCTGTGTCTGGGAACAGTTTGAGTGTCAGGGAGAAGGCACCACTGGTGCAGAGACTCACAGGAAGAAGTGAGTGTGACCAGAGAAGGGCAGAAGGGTGGGGGTGTGGTGAGAAGGAGCCTGAGAAGGGAGCGGAGGGCAGATGGGGGCACGGCAGGGCCAGGTGGTGGGAACTGGTAGGCTGAGCTTTTAGCCATCGCTCTCTGATGACATTGCTCCAAGAGCTTGCGCCCAAAAAGTACAAATCCTTAACATCTCACAAATTCTGTGTGCCAGGAAGGGGGCACGGCTCGGCTGGGTGCTTCTGCCTCAAGGTGTCTCTGAAGCAGGGCCTGTGTCTCTATTGGGGCTCGACTTGGGGAGGGTTTGGTCCCAAGTTCAGTCACATGCGTGTTGATGGGTTTTGTTTGGACTGAAAATCTGAGATCCTGCGTGTCTGTTGGCCGATCATTCCCTCCACTCTCTCCTATGGAGCCTCTTCATAGGGCAACTGAAAACATGCACACTTGCTCCCCCAGTTCCAGAGAATTAAGAGGCAGAGAGAGAGACAGAAAGATGGTAAACAGGAGGAGGGAAAGAGGGAGGGGGCTGGAAAAAATGAGTAAGAGGAAGGGCCAGGCTTTTTATTCTTAACCCTGGGTTGCGTGCCATCCCATCACCTTGGCTGCATTCTGTTCAGAAGCCAGTTCCTGACCACTGTGTGTTCCACAAGGACGCGCACAGCAGAAGACAGTGAGCACCAGGAGCCATGGTGGAGGCTGCCCACCACATAGGCCAACACGAGGCATTTGGGTCTGATTCTAAGTCAAACAGGAGACCACACAAGGTTTCATGCCAGTGAATGGAAATATCTGAATTTCCCCTAATTTCCACCTCTTAGAGGTGCAGACCTGGAAACGAGGCCCAGAGGGGCAGGGACTTGCTCAAGGTCACAGAGCTGGAACCCAGTCCTGTTTTGAGGGGTACTCCACACTACATCGCACCCCTTCTTGTCATTCTTTCATCTCTAAGTGTGTGCATCAGACACATGCAAACCAGACCACAGGTGTTGTTGCTATTGTCTCTTCTACACCTGAGGACGTCCCGAGGGAGCTATTTCTGGCATCATCCCCATCGTGCAGCTTGGGTGATTGAGTTGGCCCTGGGAGGCCCAATGGCGGTTCTAGGACACAGAGCTTGTAGGAAAAAAGAGGTCTGAACTCAGCTGCATGTCCTCAAGCTGGAACCCTGCTTCCATCACAAGGTCCTGTGTGGGGAAGTGTGCTGGCTATTTGTGTACAGTTCTGGAGGTGACATGGGCAAGGAGGGTGAGCAGCCAAGATCCCAGAGGGGTTTTGGGTGGGTGTGATTGAAGGAAGGGGCCCAGGTAAGGGAACCTTGAGGAAGTGACCTCACTTCCTTGGAGACAGAGCCCAACAGAACTTAGCACACTGGTCTCCAGGCGCCCACATTCTAGACATAGCATCCTATTGAGCCCACTTGAGTGGCGACACTGAAGACAAGAGGATGTTCTCCTGCTGTCTCCCGAGTTGTGGAGGCTCTGGCTTCAGGAAAGCCAAGAAAAAGAGCCTTTTCAGTCACTATAGACACTGGCTTGGCCCTCACCTGCACCGCCTCTGTCCAATTGGCAGGAGGATCACTCAGGTAACACAGGGAAAGCCAACCGGGTTAGGCCACAGCTGGATGCCACCCGCACACCACTTTGAGGCTCCTTGAGTGTCGGAGGGGAGTGAGAGAGGCACGGCAGGGCTGAGCGGGGACCCACCCTGGGCAGGAGCCATTTGCTCAGTGTTGGAAGACTGGCAGTGTGTCATGTTCCCAGCCTAGGTGGTGGCTAGCAGGATGGGAGAGTGGGTGCTGGGGACAAAGCTCCTCTACCCATAGGTTAGTCCCGAGCCCTCCAGGTGTCATCTCATTCCCTCCCTGGCTGGAGGTCTATGCAGATGCTGCACGGTACCTGATCTGTGCTGGGGTTTCCTCCTGTGGCCAAGTCGAGACAGGCCCCTCAGACCTCCCTGCCCGGCTCTCGGGCACTGTCTTTGCAGAGCTGCACGCAGGAGGTGGTCGAAGAGCTGGCGGATGGCTTCGGGTACTCCATCTCCCTGGACAGGGACCAGCTGCACCGCGCCACCATCAATAACCAGGGCTGCTCTGAGGTGAGAGTGGGCACAGAGGGGTCTTCCCACCCAGGACCATGAGATGACGAGGGCCAGCCCAGAATCCAACATCCCACTGCCGTTCTCCTGGGACCCTAACAGGGCTCGTCCCCATGAGCGTCCCACAATCCCATTCCCAAAGGAATCTGGACTTCTGCTCCTCCCCACCAGCTGCATAGGAGGGTAGGAGGGCACTCTTAGCATTTCCCTAGGAAGATTAGAGGAAAGGTTGATGTCGTTGTCACTTCCCAATAGGCCCTGAGTATCTTTGAATTTTGCCTTTTTTGGAAAATGAAACCTCGATAATGAGGGTCTCCAAACTCCCTTTAATGTAAAAGAAATAACCATCAGCGTGTTTGAAAGTCAAAGGGATTCTCAGAACGTGTCACTGCCCTGTAGACTGTTTCCAGACCTGGGAGGGGTGAGGTGGCCACATAACATTTCCCTCCAGGTCAGCGTCTGATGAAGCCTCAGGCAGTTAGAGGGGATGTCCCTCAGCCCTCACTTTGGGCGGTTCTCAGTTCTGAGCCACAGGACCTAGAGAAGCCACTTGGCATGCCTAAGCCTCTGTTCTCCTCTCTAGAGAGGGGTGTCTGTTGAGGATTCACTGGGCTGGTGCTCTGCACAGAGGGAGCTCTGTTGTCCCTCAGCGAGCAAATGGCCTCGAGGGAGCTCAGTGTGGAATCCTTCGCAGGACCAAAGTCAGATTGTACTTTGAGAGCCCAGAACTTTGCTGAGTTGGGACCCCTGTCTCTCCTGTCGCAGACGTCTGGGAGGGGCTAGGAGTTCCTGGGTCAGCTGCAGACCCCGATAACGCTGGTGGTTTGCAGTGGTGACCCTGACCCTGTGTCCTCCTCGTCCCACCCAGAGTGAAGATGAGTCCACTCTGTCTGTCACTGAGGCCTGCAGGATGCGTGCCCTCCAGGCAGGCATGATGCAGAGGCTCTCAGAGACTGTGCTGCCAGCCTTCCCCAGCAGAGTCCTCTGCAGTGTCATCACCTCCCTCTGCAGCTACTCAGGCTCCAGCACAGCCCACCAGGTGCTGGACCAGCTGTTTCCCAGGTGACTGCCCGCCTCCTCCTCAGCACAGTGGTGACTCTGCCCACTGCCAGCTGTGTGTCTTGCCTTGGGAATGTCACCGCATCTCTCTGAGCCTGAGTTGGCTCCTCTGAAACGTGGGGTGGGAGAGGATGAACTTGCTAGGCTTCTCCCAGGGATGAATGGGATCAGCCCTCCAGGTGCTGCCCTGGTGGTCGGCTCTGCAGAGAGGGTGGTGGGCCATGCTGTGGTTGCTGGTGGTGATTATTTCTCTGTCCCCCATGGAAAGTAGTCTTCCTCACCCTTCACTGGCTTGTGGCTTTTTGAGTTTGGAAAAGCACCTGGAGAGCACCCTGTCAAGGAATTTGAGATGCCATCCAGCTGGTCCTGGTGCTTGTCCTTGGTGTAGCCACTTAGGGATCTCTAGGGCCACAGAGGGGCCACAGGCCCACTCAGACACCCGGGGTGGTTCTGCTTGGAGGTCATTCAACAATATCTATGAAGGACGTACTCTGAGCAGGACTTCTGGACACACTAAGTGTCACTCAGTGAAGGAAGCAGACAGCCTCCCTGACCCTCCCCTCTAATCTGAGAGTCAGACAGTCACACTTGACATCATTCACAGGTCCCATCTACCCTCCATCCCGGGCGATGCCCTCATCCCCTTTGGGACACATGGAGGCAGCTTGGCCCATTGCGTGCGGGATGCTGGAGGACAGGACCACCTCCCAAAGTGAGTGGTCTTTGGGTCGAGAAGGACGGCCTCCTGTCTCTAGCAAACAGGGTGCGGGGAGAGGATGGAGGCTGTGGCCGCGTCAGGCCTGGGAGAACCCTGCATCTCACCCATCTTGTGATTCCCATGGGAGGGCTGAGTTCTGGTGGCTTCCACTCCGGCAGGACTGGACTCAAAGAGAGCTGTGCATGGGTCCCCGGACCCTTGAGAATTGGAAGGGAGGCTGGGCTGCGTTGTCCCCTAGAGACCCACTCCCAGCAGAGTCCCAGCCCCTCCTGCCTCCCTTTCTCCACATCCAAACCTTGTGAGCACCACCGCCAGGTCCATAGTAGGAGGTGTGTGAGCAAGCTGCTCCCAAATCTGCTGGAGTCTTCATTCCAGTGGCCCACATTCATGCAGGGCTTGGGTGGGCTGTGTCCAGACCCTTGGGGAGGAGAGTGCCGGTGGGAACAAGAGACTCTCACAGACTCTGTGTTCAGCCTGCTGGATGAGCAGGCCTGCCACAGCCAGGACAGCCATCCAGGGCTCAGGGCTGGGATGGGGCCCTCCTCTGGAGGGGGAGGGTCTGGCAAAGGGGCGCAGATGCCCTTATGGGTGCCTTGGGAGGGCGGTGTTTAAGGAAAGGCCGGGTCACTGACT